TTGTAATAACTGCCTATGATCAATAGAGGGCGCCAACACACAAAAAGTTAAACTTTAAGCATTGCCTCTATGAATATGAAGCTTAGTAATGTGGTTGTTTGTTGATAATTTTAACAGAAATATTGTCAGGTATTCACACATTGTTTAGGTTTTTTTTTTATAGCACTGGACATTTCTGTGATCTGGCCTGAATAAAACAGGGAATTATAGTTTTAAAAAACGCATTAAAAAAAACTTGGCAACAGAGCTTGCACCAAAGGTCAATCAACCACAGAAGCCCTACGAGATTGAGTATAAGTCATACACTGTATATATAAAGGTATAAATCCTTCACACTGCAATAAGACTGTGATGATTATTTAATTAAGGTCGTTCCTTCAAACTGGGCACTTTGGACTGTCGGCTCATCAAGGTTGGAGGGACACGCCCTTAACTTTGGAGACGGTGCAGTAGTTGCGTGTGTCCTCGGCTGCTTGACGGTCTCTGTGGTGGGGAGGAAACCAGAGTGATTCAGGGTGGGAACTTATATCAGTGGGCTCTCTTTTCGCCTCTTCCCTCTTTGGCGCATTCACCGTCGAGCTCAGCCTACTGTAGTTAGTTACCTCCCTGTGGTCCAGAGACTGGGGAATCCACCTGCCGGAGAGCAGACACACCTCGGGATGGATGCCCTGAAATCCGCCGGCAGAGCGATTATCAAGAGCCCGGGAGTTCCGCGGCACACATGGGGAACTTCAAAGCACGAAAGTGAGTGAGGCAATGTGTTTTTGGATTTGGTTCAATGTGTAAAACATTTTGGCGACGTAGCAAATGCAGTAAAATCTATCAAGAGAGGAGATAAGGATACACTAATGAGCCTCTGGTTGTTCGTAGTAAGCTGTTGTGTTTGCGTACAGAAGAGCTTTTGTTTCTCCTGTTGCCAAATGTATCTGAGGTGGATGTACTGTAGTGTAAAACGCTCCTAATAGGCTATACTGTTTCGTAGTTCAGGCTTACTTTTAATTGCTTTACTTGACTTCCTTCTGAGTGAACTTGCTAGTCCTCACGCCAACTGTCCTTCACCAAAACAAAAAGCATGATTAGCTCATTTGACCCCACACCGGAAATTAGTCGAACAAATCGAGTGATCGATACACAAACGAAAAGTTATTTTACTAACCGTATTCATTGTTTAGTTAACCTAAACATGGCAATATGCTGCTTTTTAAATGAGAAGATATGCAGCCTTTTGTGTGTCTTTATGTACATTAATAATGTATTGTTATTATCATTGAGTTTTTTACTTTAGACAAGACATTAGAACACATCACCTTAGAATTGTATGTGTATTTTCTCTCCTTTTTCGATATTTTACAAAGGTAACGCATTTAAAATAAATGTAAGCATAAGTTGATAATGAACATTATATTATTAAAGATGATAATGAAAATGATATATCTTGTAGCCTTAACTTTACTAATAGTATGCCAATTTAGAGACTAGAGACAAACTAGGGACATATTTAGATTCAAAACTGAATTTAATCCCAACAAAGGTCTATTTTTTTAAATGATCATCTTACTTTTCTGTCTCATTAATACACAATCGTAAGGAAGTCCAAGTATTATACTGCGTGGCTTTGACAACAAACTGCATGTGTATTATTATGGAATACATTCAAAACAAAATCATACTGTTATTGAAGGAAACCTCATGTGTTTGTATTCATATCCACTAAGAATTGGATTGATAGATAGATCAACCACATATCTTTTAGTGATACCATTTTTGAATACTGTATTATCTACGTTTTTAAATGACTCAGGAAATAGATAATGTACAAGGCTGCTCCCTATTACAGTATGAAGTAGACATGTTGTACTTCAGGTGGTAAGTGCTGAGGGAATGGTCCAAGCAACAAAGCTCAAGTTGTCACACCAGTGGTGGTGACAGGGGAATGAGCCTGCAGCTCTGCTGTCTCCTCGATGTGTGAAGTGTTGTCTTGAATGTTTCTTCCCTGCAGCTACATGAGCTTCTCCCTCCCGTAAATGCTAGCATGCTTTTTTTTGTTGTCACGTCCTGGCTTTCTGCTCAGTGAAAACTGACTGGCAGCCAATGCCATCTTTAATTAAACATGACTGATTCATTTCACATTCAGGAAGATGTGCTTAGTATCTCTAATCTCACTTTGAAATGTTCTACATAAATTATTGAATTTTGTGTATTGAGTTTAAGTCTGTGGTCTTTCAATGTTTTCTCATTGGATTAGGGTTTTAATGCATCTCTCTCTCTGGCTGCTGGAATAAAACTTCTTATCTTGGTTTTTGTCCAAACATTGATGGATTGGAGTTGTTATTCTTTTTCTCCACTCTACCATCAGCGACATATTGTCCTTCATTACCATGGTGACTTTATAATGACAAAAAGCTGACAAACAAATCATCAACATCCCGAAAGACATTGTCCACGTTACATTGTTTGCAGGAGCATCTGCATTGTGCTCTTCTTCTCTTCTTCTCTTCTTGTTGTATTTGTCAGAAAGAAATGGAAGATAAAGCTGAATGATGTTGTCAGGGCAGAAACCAGCTGTATTTCAGTGTTGGATGACAGAAGCAGTTTGTGTCTGAGAGCCACCAGAGGAACCAGGCTGGAAAAATGTGAAACAAGCAGTCAGAAAGAGTTCAGACAGACAGGGTGACTGCTGATGTCCAGGAGCTACTTAGTAGGCAATTTGGAGAGAGGACAGATTCTGTGTGCCAGCATGTGGCGATGCGTCAAAGCTGGCTGTCAGAATGTAAATAAGGCAACAATGCTGCTGCTTGGCACATTCACACAAAGGTGTTATTAAAGTTATAAAAAAAGGGATGAATTATGTATATCCTGTGTATGGACTGGAGGAAAGTTCACCTTTAGTTAAATAGCTACAGCCAATGACAATCTAGTTAATAATCTGTGGACACTGTATTGTAACTGAGCCTTGCCAAATGGTTTAATTAATTGGGAAATTATGTAGAGATATAATGGAAGGTCCTGTTTGATAGAAAATCATTATCACAATAAATTGTTACTATCACAAGGGCATTTTAGTTTCTGTTGATGGATCATGTGTTCATGCTTTAGCATAGTGCTTTGTTGTAAATGGGAATGCAGTGTGAAGGTGAGAGGAAGCATTTGATTGGATGATTTATTGGGTATTGTATTTTTAGGGGGCCAGCACAACTGCAGCACATGGGAAAAGCTTTTTGATACCGGCATGATTAATTTTAGTTGCTAGCTGACCTTTCTGCTGAAGCGTTGCGGCAGAGGCTCAGGAGGAAGAGCAAGTCGTCCACCAATCAGAGGGTTCGATCCCTACTCCTCCACAAAAAACGAAACCGGACCCCAAATTGCTCCTGTAGTATAAAAGCACTTTGAGCAAGTCTGTTTAGCATTCACCATTAACCAATCTAAGGTCAAACTTCCCCTTAACTAATGTATCTCAAAACCCATGTAGACACAAACCCCTTAATTGGAATCTTACCTCTCAAGTAGCACATTCAACACATCACAAGTCTGACTTTTGGGCGGCTTTAGTAAGGTAAATGGCAATGGCAAAAATTATATGTATCTTGTTTGCCTTATTAGAAGCAGTATAATGAATCCTTTACTTAACTATCATCTCTTATGCACAAAGCAAATACAAGTGGGCTGCTGAACTGGAAAGCACTGAGTGAGCTAGGTGAAATAAGTCTCAGTGTTTCCCCTAGGTTTACTGCCTTGGCAGGGTGCTGCTCGGGTACCCCCCCAACATTTTTTTTCGGGACACCCAAAATAATTTTATCCTCTGCAGCAGAGAGAGGAGCTGTGGATTATTGTTATTGATATCGTACAGCAGGGGTCGGCAACCTTTTTGATATGAAGTGCCATTTAAAAAAAAAATTGTTATCAGCGTGCCGACGATCGAGAATTATCAACGGGGGGGGGGGAGCCTCGCTGCGGGGAAGCAGTGTGTGGACCTGTCAACGAAACTTACACATTTACCACATTTAAATAATTGGTTTAAACGGCATAATAATAATAAGGACAATCGTCCGTTCTGTGATTCTCCAGAACACACATGTTATGATATTAGGGTCATGCAGAGTGAGATGAGATCGCTGTCCCTTTAAGAGAGAGAGAGAGAGAGAGAGAGAGAGAGAGAGAGAGAGAGAGGGGGGGGGTGTGGCTTGTGCATGTGTGTGTGTGGTTGGCAGAGCGACAGTGAGGGAACGTGTGTATGTTTCTGGAAGTGAAACGAGGAAGCAGAAAAACAGAGGTCTGTGATGTATTTTGTGAAACAGAAGAACAGCTAAATAAATGCAACGGCCTCCCAAGAAGAGCTCGCCTCTCTCCAGTCATTTAAGCTAAAGTGGGTTATTGAACCTGAAGCTTGTTGCTTCTGCCCTCCTCGACTACGGTCTGGGAGCCGACAGGAAAGTTCAACAGAACACACAGATGGCCAGTCCGCCCAAAATTTGTAGCATATTATTTCGATAAGCAGATCGCCACTGGGCTTTCAACTAAAGACACAGCCACGCAAAAACTGCGGCATTTGTACAGCTCCTTATGGGTAGGCCTACTGCAATTTGTGAAGTGCTTTCCTCTGGTGAAACGATCAGCACTGCACCACGGAGGAAAGCGGCAGAAAGTCACCTGGAGTTAAAGAGAGCGGGGCTGCGTTGCGTGCATGGCTTCCTTCTGCGGGTAGACGCGCTCTGGCGGCGGTCTCGTTCAGGATCCGAAAATACAATTTAAATATTATTGCACACTTATTCCATTTATTCCTAGTGTGCCACTGGTTACGGTGCCAGGGGTTGCCGACCCCTGCTCTAGATCCTGACCAAATCCTTTTTTGTTGATCAAATGTTTTAAAAAAATGTATTGTATATTATATAACAGCTGCACATCACAGACTGGAGTCTCTGCTACTGTGGACCACGAAGGAGGCGATCATCATCCCCATCCCCAAAGACCCTGCATGGCATGGAAATCTCCTCCTCCTGGAACAATTCTAGACCCAGCATATGCTCCCTGTGTTGGCCAGTAGAGAGGAGGACATTTAAATAAACATACTCTTAACACCCTCGGACTCTGCGTTGTGTTTCGTATGTGTGATGGGGTGTTATGCAGAGGGGAGGAAAACAGGACACAGCAGATTGGGATTGTGGTGGAGATGCTGAGCAGTTATTTAATTGTTGCATGTAATTATTATTATACTGCGTGCTTCTTAGTTATTCCATCTTTTGCTGTAACATGGATCTGTATGTAACTCTATATTTACTTGTTATCTACCACACTTCCTTCTACATCATACACCATCATTATACATGATGGTGTATATAGGATATATATATTTGTATACATATCTGTAAATTGTATAATTTTATTTTTCGTACTTGGGATTTCTCTTTTGTCCACTCAAATACACTTGGCCCTTTCTCTTTTCCATGTGGAAAATGGCAGCTGCATATTCTGCTTTTCTCATCTGGCTCCCTGTCTGCTCGTCTACAATGAGACAATTATATAATTAATTACTAATAATCATTTAAACCTGTTATTACCAATATTTCACAAATTCTTCATGTAAACTTAAGAGCACAGCTGTATGTTGATGAGATCTTTCGAGGCCCGTCCTATGTTGAGTGGCCAGCTTAGCCTAGGCCCGATCAGCTTACTGGAGTCGCTGAGCGGTAGACCAGCCAGATGGAGGATTATATGTCGGGCCTGGGGGCGTCCACAGCTAGTTGCTG